AGAAATATTCCAGCACATGGAAAAAAATACATTTTTTGTACTTAATGATGAGTTACTCAAAACACCCTAGGGAACATCTTTTTGTATTACGCTGAATCTTACTTCAACACAAAGAAATTGATCTTCGATACTTGAAAAAAATCGAGGTTGCATTGACTGACAGACAGATGCAACCTCAGCTTTGTGTAAAAACGGCCTCCCACTACAAACAAACTGAACAGCATTTCTGCAGGGTGTCAGGTTTTGTGGAAAATGCACGAATGTATTAATATATATTCATTTTGAAAAGGAATTCATAGCCAACTAAGCATATCTACAAGAATATATATGAAGTGGCACAGTGGTCAAATTATTATTTTTCCTTTGCTACTAGTGAGTATTTGGGGAAAACTGGCATAATGGTAATTTCCAGCAATATACTGAACTGTCAGTCAGTCAATACTCTCACAGTATTCTAGAGAAAATGAGCAACTTGTCTGCACTAATGAAATTTCAGTTGCTTGGCCTAGACTACCAAGCGTCAGGACTTCTAGTGGCCTCTGTTATATTGTTGTGAAGAAATGTGACTATTCAAACATAGAAGTTCATTAATTATTCTAGAACGTTTTGCAACCCTTATCTCCTAAAAGCCTACTACGCATGTTTCTTCCAGTAGCTTTTTCTAAAGACTTCCATCACACTGTAGAAAACTCTTAAAAGAAAAAGCAAGAAGACATACAAAATTCTTGCAGCCTTGTTACAAGCTGCCATGTTGGCGACTACCATTTTCACTAATGATACTTCAAGATGTATTCTTAAGTTACTTAAGAGAATTATAGGGATTACCAGTCTCACTTCAGTGTTAAAAGTCAGATCTTCTAGGCTTTCTGTAACCCTGGGACTCTTTATTTTTTATTTATTTTTTTTATTTGGCGTACAGTTTGGAGAGTTCAGTAATTCAGATTACATATAGCTGAACCACAGTTTCTCAAAATCCATTTTGAAAGGTGACCAGCACTTCACTGGCACATTTGAGAATGAAACAGGGGGGTTGATTTTATCCCAGTTTTCACCTGCCACCCACTACTGTTGGGATGCACCATCAGACACTGCATTCAACAACTGCTTGAGCTGCACTTCGCATGTGCCTTCAAAATCTTCCCTGAGAACTGCGAGCTTGGTTCCCAGCCACATCACTGCAAAGGACCTGAGCAGTCCTGGAGACCTTGTAGTAGCTACTCAGCTTGACAATGTCAGTTTGAATGGGAGCTTTGCAGAAGCCACTCCCCAGAAATTTTTTTTTATTATTAACTTTTCCTCAAAACAAGATGTAGTTTGAGTGTATATGATATCGATGTGTTCAAAATGTTTTTGAAAATAAAATTCTTTTGGTAAGAAAATGGAGAAACAGGAGTAAACAGAAATGGGAAAGGGGGACTGAGAAAGAATTCAGTTCACTATGGTCAGAGGGATGAGCAGAACAGATCTGAGGACCAGTGCAAAGATGGAAAAAGGTAATTTGGCAGAGAAAAATCTGAGATGGGGTGCATGCCAGTCCCCCATTTTCCCTCTTCTGTGCACAGCAAAAGTCCCTTGGGAGTATCAAAATCTTAGTCTATGGACCCTGAGGAGATCCTGAATGTTTGGAGGACTCCTCTCTCCCTGTGTCCTGTCCTTCCCAGTGCAGACAAGCCTCTTGGAGGATGTCTCTCTTTGGGGAGTCATTAACCCCAAGGCAGTTAAACACTGGGATCACGGAATGAAGGCAATGGAAACAAAAATCTCTTAAGCCTCAGAAAGACAAAATTGAGGGACAGAAAATGCCTCCTCATGGTGGAAAGCTGACTACAGAGGATAAAGAAAATAGTCTAGTTCAGGTGTGGATGTTGAGCAGCCTAGGGCAGCCTACCTAAGGGGACATGGATGGCGGGCGCACAAGACTAGTACAAATACAGTGTGTGCTGTACAATGAGCCATGTGTGTAACCCCACCTGTGATACGCACCCTCTGCTACAATAGTTCACATCTCACCACCTTTCTTCATCTGACAGGCTTGATGGGACATGAGGGGAAGTATGAACCAGAAAGAGTAGCGTAGGGACAGTATTTTCTGTGACCACCACACAGTAAAACTGTCTGCAGTTGGGAACCGCCTGCCTGTTTTTTTCACCACACAGTCCAAGTATTTTTAAGTGGGACCATGAGATCCACTCTCACAAGACAGAAATTAGACAGGTGCTTGGAAATCACATATTGTCCAGCTAGCTGCAATAGCATCACTGGCAGTAACTGCAAATGTATAACTAATCATTAAGGTGTTAGAAAGAACAAATACATTGGTAATAAAAGTTTTTTAGGAAATTCAATAGCATGAAGCTTTACTAGTGCAGGATAGCAGGTGTTTCATGGTATTTTTTCCCCTTCCAGAACTTGAAGATCAAGAAAATGAAAAAAAAAAAAACAACCAAACAACAAACCTGCCAACAACAAAACTTCCAAAATGAAAAATACCCAGTGAAGGTCGCACAACTTTAGATTTAACTTTCTGACTAGTTATCCCTCGACACACATTTGTACCTTGTATTCAAAGTGTTCTGAACATCAGCCATCTATACCCTTCCTGTAATCAAATCAAAAGCTGCTCCTTGGGGAAAACCCCTCCCATCTGCTACATTTGATTACGCTTTCATCCATACATGTCACCAAATTCCTTGCTTTCATTATCCATCCTTAAACCCACACGTCACACATATCTCCCACCTAACTGCTGGCAGCCCCATCACAAGACCATCACTTTGTCCTCTCACTGAAACTCTACAGAGCAGCATGGAAATCAAATGCCACGCCACACAGCCGTCTGCCGATTTCCTTGACCCAGATACAGAGGGTAAAACAGACAGGATCCATATCTGCATTTAATAGCAAGGAGGTACATATTCCCTTTTGGTCACTGTCAGCTTTCAAAAAACAAATGATAACAGTTATTGGAGTGTGCAGCTTAACTTCATTTTCTAGATCTTCAAAGTCTGAAGCAACTGCATTTATCTTTTAATTTTATTTCCTTCCCAACTCAACTTACTATTGTAGCACTTTAAGCCTACACAACAGACTTGCTGTTTTATCGATATTATCAATTCCACCTTTGGAGAGTCTCTCTCATGTAAAGCACAATAGTAAATAGAAAAGTGAATAAAAATGGTTTAATATAACACAGTTCTATAACTTATCTGGTTTATCTTCAATGCTGTCACTTTTTTTAAGCACAAATACAGACTGCAGCATGTTGAGGGTGGGAGACAGTAAAGCAAGTGAAAAGTTAGATCCTACTACTCAAATACCAGAGATGGTATTTGGACATAAACCAATTTCTTCCGAGGCTGCGACTGCTAGATCTGCTAAATCTCATGCTGATTCTCACCAGATAAGACTGTTTTTTTTTAAAAAACATTTTGGTAAAAGGCAAAAAATCTTTAACAACATGGAAAGTTAGAAACTAGGCATACAAAGCCTGACAATTTTTCTACAGGAAAGAAAAAACAACAGTACCATCGTTTTTCAGCTGCCAGTGCTTCCAAACACAAAAGCTGCCTTTGTTGTTCCTACAGGAGTTGAACAGGACAAAATCAAGGACCAGGAGGAGCTGCATGCATGTGTGCATGACAGAAAGTAGAATGCTGAAAAATTCAAAGATTGGCCAGTATGTCATTAAAGCTATCAGTTTTGTTTTGGTCTCCTGCTGTGGCGCTACCAGCTTATCTGATCAACTAATAGAAAATTGCGTACAAAATGCAAAAAAGCACTTGGATCAGGCAACCTGTGATTAAAACAATTATGAAGCAAATACATCCCACAGACTATATTCATATATATTTAAAATTGCCAGATTGAAGCGAGTCCTTTTCTAGTAAAAATCACATTTGCTTCACACTCCATTTCACACTGATGACAAAAATCATGATAGCAAACACAGAACTTAGTCTGAAATGAAGTCGTTCACTGTACATGAGCAAACTTATGGTACTGATTTGCCAACAGCTAGAACACAAAGTCTCAGAAGTGAATGAGCACAATAAGGAAATACTGGAGCAGTTTAGATGACAGAGGAGGTTAATAAAACGTAAGATACTGTAAACGTAGCATATGATACACAGAAAACGGATCAGGACTTGGAGAAAAACATCACTTTGCCTTTTCTGCATTTTTTTTTGACAATTCTAAAACTAGTCACAGACGACCCTCTTCCTGAAATTTCCTGCTTTGCATTTCTCTATTTACAACAAACTCACAATATAAAAGGCTGATGAAACCCTACATGCTTAAAATATAAAATTATGTATTTAGTATAATGCACGATTCAATTCCAGTAGAGAACATAATCCAGTTAATTATCCATATGATGTATGAATCACATGGTAAATTCTAGATGTATCAGATTAAATTTTCAAAAATCTGTTAAATACATGTCTTGTGGTTTCCATGCCACTTCTGTCGTTTTCAGCCATTACCTTTTCTAGCAAGCATGCCAGTTTAGGTCTAGCACTTCTCCCTGAACTTCTTTCCTATTTTGAGCATTTAAAATATCTTCTCAGAGGTACTCTTCATCTAGCATGGCACAGGCACAGTATTAAGTGGAATTAAATTCGGACGATGCACACAGAAACCCATGCTCAAGAAGCAGGCCAACGTAAACCTTTAAGTCCTCAGGAAATTCAGCTTCAATCACATTTGAATACAGCCTTCAGGTATGAAGAGGCACTATGTGTGCTCCAGTGAAAGCTTTGCACACTATGGAACACAGAAGTTTACATCATCCCACCAGACAATACCACAGAGAGGTACAAGTCACATGCCAGCCTTCATTCCCTCCCTACAGTAAATCCGACCCAAAAGCAAGAACAGTTCCGATCCTGTATAAATCCTGCATAAGACCATGATAATACTGTAGTCATCCACCTAGTAAGGCACTAATAAAAGCATCAAAGCCAGATATCACATATCCATCTGTAACAGAGCACTCCTACCTTTTCAGTTTCATGTAATTTTCACTAGCGGCAGGTCTGCATTCAGCACGTTGCACCACTATCCCTTCCACGCAAAGTTTATCTGGAATGAAAAAAACAAAGCAAAACTGGACATTAAAATAAGATTCACTAACATGGTCAACATTTGAATTATTTTTCTCTAATTAAGGATTTAGTAAATATAATGTAATTGTAAGTTCTCAAATTAATTTCTAAAATCTCTGCTATTTAGACACCGAAGAAATAAGCAGGAAAACCATGCTTGCACAGCTGGTATCTTCTCAACTTCCTTATTTTGCCATCAGATGTTTTACCCATTAAGAATGAATCACTGAGATCAAATTTTAAATAAGAGATGGTAACTGTGTGGGCCTCCTTTCTTTAGATTGTTGCACTCAGATTATCTAGGAACTGTTTTCCGGAAATGTGCATTGAACACAGTCAGTTACCATGAAAAAAATAATCTACAAAGAGCACCCGATCCTCAAAGTATTCAAAATTAGTGGAAGACAAAACAAGAGCTAATTTTATTCCTATCCCCAGAGAAAGAGTAATCTATTTTCATCTTATTGCAATAAAAAAAAAAATAAAAATTGTTTACTAAAGGAACATCACGCAATAAAGTAGTAACACCACATATGCTAACACTTGGGGAAAAGAAATAAAAACTTGCAGTTTAGCAATCTAGGAGATCACACACTAAGCGTTAGTTAATACTGCTCTCTGTACATTCACCTCTAACACAGGCACTTTATAATCCAACCTGAACATCTTTCTGCCTAAAGCAACGGTGACCAACGGAGCAGCACAACAGTACCAGCCTACTCTGTAAAGGTAGAAAAGCCTAAAAATTAAAAGCAATGTGACGTAGAAAGGGAGAGAGGAGTGATGGTGGGCAAGTGTAAAACAAACACCTTTGGAACAGCCTTGCATAACAAGAAAGGATGAACTTTAATGGCCTGATTAGCTCCCGCTATTTAAAATGTCCTTCCAACAGAGAGCCTCTTCTTGCTGTTGGTGTAGGGTACTACACTGTCACCGTCACCTTCAGCTGGCAGTGTCACAGAAGACCAGAGACGTTATCTCAGAAGTACTGATGCCAAGTAACACAAGGCACTCTGAGATGCCTCTAATTTTTCCACTGCCTCATAGACTGAAATATTATTACATCTAAATATTACTAAATCTAAGCCTACTCTCCCTGAATAATGCAGAGAGGGATTACTTCCACACCATGTATTTTTAAATTATTTAATCTAAAATTTCTTGGTTTGATTTAAACTAAATCCTTGAAGGGAGTCAGAATGCCATACTCTTCCACATAATTTTAAACAAAACAAAGAAAGTTTTCAATAAACATTTCCAGCTTTACAGACTCCTAAGGTTTATGGTCAGGACAGACAACTTGGCAAATTTGCCTGACCTCCTGTGTATCACAGACACAAATTTTATCCTCTTTCTTCTTTACAGAACCTAGTAACTTAGTTGTGGCTAAAGTGGTACTAACATTGCTGCTTAATTTCTAATACGAATTTGCCTTCAGTTTCTAGCAGTTGGTTGTTCTTACGTCTTTCTATCCTATCATAAAGAGACTTTTAGTACCTGCTGTGTTCTCCCTTTGAAAGTACTTATACATTGTAATCAAGTCACTTCTCAATTATCTTTTCAATAAATGAAGTGATTCAAGCTCATGCATTATCTCACCACAAGGCATTTACGCCACACTTAAATCAGTTTTGGGTCTCTTATCTGCAGCTTGTTCAATCTTGCAAAGATGTTTTAAGAACACAGAGACCAGAAAATAGACGGAATACTATTGTACTGGTCTTACCAAAACCACATACGGAGGTAAAGTAACAGATACTGGAATTTCTCTCACCTCAGTTCAGCCATCTCAAGGTTACTCAGCAGAATCTCTGAATTCAGCTGAGGGAGGGAGGAAGGGAGACTTCCAGAAGAAAATTGGTTCCATCTCTTTTAGGATTCAATGATCTGCCCTGTGCTGGTTAGGTTTCTGTGGGTTTGGTTTTGAAGGTTTTTTTTTTGGGGGGGGGGGTGTGTCTGTGTACTATGACTGTGCTTCATGTTCAGATGGCTAAAACTGGGTTAAAGATCAATTTGTCTCTGAAAACCAAGCTCTGGGGGTTGATGAAGCTGACTGGCTATTATATCACTAATACATCGGTTTTGAGTCTTTCCTAAGCCTCACATTTTACCTACGTGCTCTGTGTTCCCTGTTCCTAGAGGTATAATCACCTTTGGCTTGGTTAAAATGCATTGCCTTTAAACAGGTACTATGAATTAAGTGACCCCAGTCACACCATGACAGTCCTGTCATAGCTATTCGCTGTCTGACCAGCGCTTGTGTCAATCATGACACATTTTATAAGAAGTGTTTCTCACTTACTACCGCCCCTTTTGCTAATCCTGGAGGAAGCCCTTCGAACTACAACCCGAGTGGCTTCCTACTGATAATTACTTTCCAACAACTGTCAGACAGTTTTTAACCTTGTTCTGTGCTTGCTATTTTTTTTTTCCCAGACATAAATCAGAATGTCATAAGATTCTAAATTATGTGCAATACGAAATGCTAAGCAGGCTGCAAACATGCTGTTACTTTAAATTCACAATCTCCAAAATAAATGAAATTGGGTTTGTTTGACCAGAAAACCTTTACATAAAGCCATGTTTGCTAGTATTCACTACATTTGACCATATACTTGGTGAGGTGGGGGGGACAAGCCCTGAAGGGGGCTCTTGGATGGTGGTGAGACACTGGCACAGGTTGCCCAGAGAAGCTGTGGCTGCCCCCTCGCTGGCAGTGTTCAAGGCCAGGATAGATGGAGCCTTGAGCAACGTGGTCTAGTGGAAGGTGTCCCTGCCCACGGCAGGGGGGTTGGACTAGATGATCTTTAAGGTCCCCTCTAACCCAAACCATTCTGTGATTCTATGATATTTCTACCTTTTGAACTTCATGATAATTTTTCCACTAGTTTCGATGGTACAGGTCCAAGGCCAACTAGCCCATACTCATCTGAGCCATCCAGCCCAGCTGTCTGAACACCGACAAGCCGCTATCAATCTCTCTGCACCTGGCACAATTTTCAAATTATTCTTAAGGTTTAAAAATCAGGATCAGCGAATCAGAATGCTCCCCCATACTACCTATTTAAGAAAAGAAGCTGCCAATTAAACATACTTATCCTTAGCAATATCTCATCTCTGATGTCTTGGCTAACACTCTGTTTTAATTACCACTGATCTGGACTTGGCTTTTAATGTTCCAGTTGCTTCACAGTACAAGGCTGTCCGCAGCCTCCAAGAACACTGCCTTGCAGCTAAGCTAGTCTGCTGTCAAAGCTTATCCACTGTCCAATAGCCAAGATTTATGTCCCACTTTCCCTGAACCCTCTTGGGGATTTTAACACATTCAGAGAGTCTAGCAGGATAAATCTGCAAAGATGCATGCAAACCTCCGGATGCACTTTTACTCCCTTTTTGACTCCCTTTACAGCCTAATTAGCCCTCATTCACCAAACTCAAGTTCAGAGACTTGGGTCTCTCTTCATATACTGCAGGACCAGAGCTGCAATGAAAAGACATCCAAAGTGCTACACATCTGCCTTGATATTTTCATAGTCACATCAGCCTAAAAGCCAAAGGATGAATAACGCATGAAAATAGCAATTCCCTGTTAAAAATACCTACTCAAAATAAAGCAGATTGTACAAGACAAATTAATAGGTCTGGAAGACTAGCTGAGACCAGTGACTAGAAGGGAAAACGGACACTTTCCCAAATGTCTTATGCTCTCAGTTGCCCTATGTGGGGTGGCAGGTACAAGTACGCTGTGAGTGCAGCTCCGGACAGGCTGGTCTACATAACCGATAGCTTCATCATTAGCTGCCAAATGAGTGCTCACCCTGACCTCCTTGCCTGAACGCCCCGGCACCAATTCATAAAGGAATTTAAACTGTTCACTCTTAAAAGTGAGATATGCTGGGAAGATGCTGATTCCAGTTTCAAATCCTGTTGACAATAACCATCAAATGAACAGAGTGTGGTTAAAACATTTAAGGCAATCTTAATAAACAGGCACTGGGGAAATTTACTGGAACTGTGTAGAAGATGGTCTCATAGGGCTTGGTTCGTTGTGGGTTTTTGTTGTTGTTGTTGTTTTGTTTGTTTGTTTGTGGTGCTTTTTGTTGGGTTGTTTTTTTTTTATGGGGGGGGAGAGAGAGAGAGAGAGAGATAGACTGGCTTATCGATTCTAATGTGATAGTTTTCTAGTCTGGCTGCACCCAGCTCCAATTTCCAGCCACTGGATCTTGTTAGACCATTGACTACTATGTAGAAGAGCCTGCTATGAAAGTGTTTCTGCCCATCCAAGCACTTATGTACTTCCCACCTTTATGAAGCCTAATAAAAATATATCATGTTTTCTTGCACCTTCCATTAGGTCTATTTTTTGGCTTCTTAAATCATTCTTATTGGCTGGAGAAAGTTCAGTTCATGAATGTCTCTCCTGAGACACTGTCTCTCAGCCAGACTTGACAGCAGGTGGGACAGGATCTGGAGCTTACCAGCTCCTGCTCTTTGTGAGCGGTGCCAGGGAAGGAGAAGACCTGCTTCAGGACACACAATTCCCAGGCAGCAGAAAAAAGTGGAAGAAAGTGCAGTAAGGACAGACTATGGGCACATGTGCCTCCAGCTCCTCAGCAGGTAAAAGCTGGGCTGTTGCCTTCCAGTGTCCAAGTCAGAAGCCCCCGTAGCTCCTGCTGCCCACTTATACCACTGTGCAGCTTCCCAGGCTATTGCATGTGATGGCTGGACGAGGAGCAGCCTCCTCCTACACTAGACCTCAACTCTGCTCTTCCAGACCAGAGACATTTTGTGGCACCTCTCCTCCATTCAAAGGGCAGCCTTGAAGCTGGTGTCCTTCTCAGACCACCCTTCCCCGGTAGCTACACAGCTAGAGAACAGGATCACCCAGTCTTCACTTAGCACTCCTATATTTAGGCATCCAAAGATACACACCACATTTGTTTTACTGACCACCACACAGAACAATGAGCTCATGTTCAGTTGTTAATGATGCACTATACGTAGGACAGAGCCTCGGCCCTAACCCTCCTGTAAACATATGTACTACAAGCCCCATCTACAGTGTATTCCTGGGCATATAAACTTCGTATTTGGTCACATTAAGATGTTATCCTAACCAACTATACAAATGGTTCTGCATCAGCAATGTATCTCCTTACTGATTATATTCTCAGTCTGTATCATCTCCAAATTTCATCAGTAACTATCTCCTTCTTGATCACTGACTAAAAAGAAGTAGGACCAAGAACCAAATCATAGCAGTGTTTTAGTTATAATCCTCTGCTTAACATTTGCCAGTTTGAAGCCTGCAGATAATTTTTGTATAGTGAAATGAAAGGGAAACTAATACAGTATATATTCTAAATCGAAATCACAAATGAGACATACTCAAAGATTTAACACAAAAAAGCATCACCTGCTTCGCTGAACAAGTTGTAATTTAAAAAAGGGGAAAAAAATTGGCACAATCCACTTTCCCTCCACCCACATTGATTAGTATTATATTACTCTCCCTTAATTTTTAACTGATTGACTTCCAAGTCAGCTGTTTTATTGTTTTTCACACAGTCCCTTTTCGTTTGTAAATACCTTGACCATCCAATTCACCTTTCAAATACTGGCACAACATTTTCTTTTGCAGTCTTGTAGAACTGCAGTGCTCAAAAATTATTAAAAACATCAACAGCAACTGTTGATAGAGTTTCTTAGCTCTTTTAAAAATCTCGAATGCAAATTGTTCAGACCTGCTGATTTTAAAATCTTCAATTTTAATTAGTGTGTAGAGCTCGTCTTCAATAGCAGTTAATCAAGGTCCCGGAGCTACTATTGGAATGAGCATGTCTGTACTACCAACACTGTTGAGATAGTTGCTACTGAATGGTTTCACTGTCCAACAACCTGGCCAATCTTCTGTGTTATGACATTAAATGACTAGCAAATTGCCTGATAACCCAAACAGATTTCATTAGCTTCCTAATACACTTCAAAAATTCTCTGCCTCTTACAGCTGAGGTTTCTCCTCATATCCTTTTGTACTGTAAGAAATAAAAGTGGTTGTTTTCTGTAACCCAGGTAATTTTCGTAGACAGCAAAGTCTCAGTGAAGCTGATGCTGTTCAGACACGTGAGTAAGCTGAACCATTGGTAAAGCACCCGTTTTTCTGTGGTGCGCTCCAGTCCTGAATCCTCATCTCCATGGTGTGCTCAAGCTTCCAGACCAGGAGGTTCAGGAGGAAGATGGAAGTTGAGGAGGAGTGAGGTTATCTCCCAAAAGGAAATGTAGGACAGAACGAGGGGCAGATGCCTAGCCCCCTCCTCCTTGCATTTGTTTTCCTGTGTAGCTGATAGATGCCAGTACTACATTTCCACTGCCTCCAGGACAGCTTGTCTGACTGAGGAGAAACTGAAAAGCTCTGTGGATTGCCCTCCTGGTGCAGCCGAAAGGGTGAGTAACTTGGAAATGGAGTACTACTACTATAGCCACTCTCTTAAGTGTATGCAAGAGTGCTTAGCATATTTTCTGACTTAATCTGGAACCAAAACAATACTTTTTCAATTGCTGGATTCCAGTGTTATTCATTGCTTCAGTGGCCCATCCCAGCATAGAGGTGACACTGACAATTTGTGAAGCAGCGGTCACTTCAGGGTTGCCAACATCAGCTAGCAGGATACTTCAGCTGGATTATGCAGAAACAGACAGTTCACTCGGGGCATGGGAGAGTACACAGCAGCAAGTTGCTGGGAAGCGAGAAGATCCAGGATACATTGGGCACATCTCAGCTATCACACACGTGGTGCAAAACATAAAGACTCTCAGAGCACACGAACGGTCGAAGTCTCTAACTTGACTGCAAGAAATACTTGCATACCTTTACCAAAATGAACTTTTGGATGATCTCCCACTGCATGGACAAAAGGACAGAAAAAAGGAAATCCAGTTCCTCTAGGCATCACTACACCTTCAGAAAACAGTGGGCTGTATGAAACCACCCCATCAAAGCTACACGCGCTGCAATACCATACGTATCACCAAGTGCATAGGAAAAATAAGTGCTCTTATGGAAAAGTTGTCTCATGGTACAGCACAGAAAGTGGAAAATTTTCACAAAGATATGCCACGCTTCAATTTTGTGTTACAGATGACTGTCAGCTGCAGTGAAGTGAAGTTACATGGGTTTGTGGTGAGGAAAATTTTTCAGCAGCTCTACATTTTTCAAGTCTCAAAGGTTTAAATGTAAATATTCATGATCTCCACAGAGTATATTTTCCACATCAAATTGATTTTGAATATTTTATCATACAAACCACTAAAACGATTTTGCATGCTCTTTCGAAGAATACTTACTCCTTCACAAAACTGGAAAATTTCAACTGCAAGTGTCAGAACATTGAGAAGATTATAAGCATGAAAAAATAAGTTGAGCAGATACTGTTCTGTAACTGCTGTCTCTTAAAATGTAGACAGCTTAGCTGGCCACGAAAAATTTCATATCTTTTACAAATCCCAGCTCTCCTTGGAAATCCCTACTTACTTGTGCCAGGACATTCCTAGTCCAGCTTCAAAGTATTTCAGGATCACTGTGTAAGATGCAAGCACCACAGAAATCATTCTCTTAGGGTTTAATAGTCACTAAAATGGCTCAACGCTGTAGCTATGCATGATCTAAGCACATTAACTGAATTTTCCATCACTTGACAATAAATTTGGATGCCTCCCGTAACGAAAAAAAAAAAAAAAATCATACTTGAAACTAATTGGCTCTGTCATTTTTTTCAATTATTCACCCAACAATTGTGAAAGGAGTTAATTTTAAAAAAAAGTCCAAATGTTTAAAAATTAGGAACTGGTTGAAATATCTTTGACTGAAGTTATGCTAAACATATCAATGGCAGGAAAGAGTTAAAATTAAAACCATGACTAATTCCTGATAAATGGAATCTAATAAATAGTATCTGCTTAATAGATCAGATACAGCAGCAGAAAAATTTAGCTTATCAGTGCTAGGGATACCCTGGCAAGGAGAATAGGGAATAAAAATGAAGTGCATTTATTTCTACTACAGGCAGTTATCAATTAATAAAATAGTGATGACTCTACAGTATCGATAAACAGCCTTAGAGACAGTGGGAGCACTAAGAATAAATCATTTAGAAATAAAGCACAAGAATTTACAGAAGACTAATCTGACTTTTCACCACTAATCGGGCAAAGCAGGAGACATCTACCTGTAAAGTGAAAAATACATCTTGAAAAAGATGGGACCTCCTCTCCAGGTCCAGCCCAAGGTAAGCGTTCGCTCCCGCCCGTGCTGGGGAATGCATGCTGTGGCTCCCGCCTGCTCCCCAAGGAAACGCACACAGAGATGTGTGGAGGAGAGCTTTCCCTTTCTTGCTCCAAGCTGCGAATGTTTAAAGGGGAAACCTTTTTCCAAAAGGCAACCGAGAGCGAGCCTCACAGCACAGATTCATGGAGAGAAGACAGCCATTCGATTCAAGCGTGCTCTGCTGATGTTTCCCCCCTCCCTGCACCCAAGTGTTGCTAAGCTATAATGTTATGTGATGTTCAAAGCCATCCGTAGGCACACTAACCCTTTGTTCTGCAGGGCAGCGGAGTTGTTTCTATTGAGAAAGAACAAACTGATGCTAGATAGCCTCAGTGACTTAAAAAACATCACCAATATAAACAGTAAATCTCCTCCCTAAAACCATTTTTATCTATGGCACAGAGAAAGGCAAAAAGCGAAACCAAATCAGGCTGCAGTTCTTGTGTCGGTGTGGATACTCTCAACGACTGCGAATGGAAGATTTCACCACAAACTTAAGAGTCAGACCAACAAGTCCTCAGCATCACTTCCATAGTATCTCCTTGAAAACATCTTACCACTGTGCACGTGTCCAGTAAATGAGGAATACGTATGTGCACGCACTCCATAAAGGACACCCCTCTTGTACAGACAGGGACACCTTTCCTTTCAGTTTCCTAAAAAAAAATCAGGTACTGTAATCAGCACCAAAAAAATGTGAAAAGACACTTTATGAAAATTAAAATCCTTGAAACATAAATGAAGCTATCTGTTTAACACCATAAGCACTAAACATGATTTGGCCAGCTGATACTACAAATACATCTTAAAGTATTAAACATAGGGTGTCCTTTAGAATAGTAGTATGCATTTCTGTGGATAACACCCAGAATTATGTAAACTTCTTAGACTTAAAAGGAAAGAAAGAGACAAACAGTTGTTATACCCTTCTTCCCTTATACAGTTAAATGCAAATTCTCCTTTACAGTCATATTCCTGCTCTCTCCCCGCATACACAGCTGATACGCCACCTACTGCAAACCCGAGCTGACAGTCGGAGCAATGCTAGCAGCATTTCCATTCCAACATCGTGCCGGAGCTGAATAAAGGTGCTTTTTTTAAAAAAAAAAACAAACCAAAAACCACCAACTCTGCAATTTGACAAGAACAAAGCAAGATAGCTGGCTTTTCATCCTAGCTTCAATAATGGAGAAAAAAATAAACAGAAGAGAAAATGAATGTGAAGAAAAACACAGCAACTCTGAAGGCTCCGAGCAAGACAAGGACTATAAAACGTCTCTGATTACTCTGAATGTTGGTGGCTATCTATATATCACACAAAAGCAGACACTAACCAAATATCCAGATTCTTTTCTGGAAGGGATCATAAACGGAAAAATAATGTGCCCATTCGATGCAGACGGTCATTACTTCATAGACAGAGATGGACTTCTTTTCAGACACATTCTCAACTTCTTACGAAATGGAGAACTTCTTCTCCCAGAAGGGTTTCGAGAAAATCAACTTTTGGCACAAGAAGCAGATTTTTTCCAGCTTAAGGTACTCTCGGATGCAGTGAAATCAAGGTGGGAAAAGGAACAGCTAGCATGTCGAGAGACTACTTTCCTGGAAATAACTGACAGCCACGACCGTTCACAAGGACTTAGAATCTTTTGTAATGCTCCTGATTTCATTGCAAAAATAAAATCCAGAATTGTACTAGTGTCCAAAAGCAGGCTGGACGGATTTCCAGAGGAGTTTTCTGTATCTTCAAATATTATTCAATTCAAGTACTTCATAAAGTCTGAAAACGGTACACGACTGGTACTGAAGGAGGACAACACCTTTGTCTGCACCCTGGAAACTCTTAAGTTTGAGGCTATAATGATGGCTTTAAAATGTGGATTTAGACTGCTGACCAGTCTGGATTGTTCAAAAGGGTCAATTGTCCACAGTGATGCACTTCATTTTATCAAGTAATCACAAAGGCAGAGGAAACAAGCATGCAGCCAGTAAACCTCGACCTGCAGCCTCCTGGCATCACAAATAATGTATCTAACTAGCCTTGTACCACAGAGCTCGGCTGCTAATCAATTGATGTGAGCTAATGGTATGTAAATCTCATAATGACATCCATCTCTGGCTTACTTAAGCTAAATGACAAATTTATGCCTGAATTTAACAAAAATTATCTGCTAAACATTGTAAACACAAATTGAATGCTTTATGCTACTTGTAATATATGTTTTCTCAATGCTGTCTTTCAACCAGAGAGTCTAGCTGAATTTTTGTGTACTTGTATGACTAACATGCATACACCTAACTGCTCTGCTGAACAGCAGTGAGAGCATTTTCATATAATAAGCAGGCTTAAAATATGTTTTGCTTATAACAAATTCAGAATGGATTTTAACTGGAATAAATGGTTTTGAATGTTCGCTAGTGTTCATGCTAATCTATTGCACTGAATTTGCAAAAAACAAGATTGCAAGAGGGTTTAAAATTAATCAACTTGGTTTTAAAGTTATATTATTTCTCAACTCACTTAAAATTTATAGCTGTATTACTACATCAATAATAATTGCCAAAAACATGTAAACCAACCAAATAATGCTGGGGGGATTAGTTCTATTATGGGAAATGAGTTGAAATCTGCACAGAACGTTAAATCTTCTAATTATATACAGACATCAAATGGCTAATAGAAATATTTGACATAAAGTTTCATGGAACAGGTTTCCAGTAATGACACCCTACAATGCTAAAGTCACTATTCCCTACCAAACATTTGTACTCAGGAGGACTGGGAATTAACAGAGCCCTTGCTTTGCACAATGGCTTACTAAAAGCAACTAGTACTACCAGTTTTGAACAGACCACCTGCTGGTATTTAAGATGCATCACTCTAAGATACAAATACCTTCCTCCTCCTCACCTCCACTATTTATCAAATCTTTTTGTCTATACGTTAAGCAAGTTTTAATAGCTTCTATGGAACAACTGTAACTAATTTAACCACAAGCATTACAAACCAGTCACTCCGCAAAGTGGACTGAAAAATCACCACAAAAGTCAAAATGAAACTGTACTAAATTTAAACTTTGTCCATCATTGAACCCAACCACTACTCACAGCTCATATGAATCCCAAATTCAAGTCAAATTCTATTAAAGAAAGAAAAAACCAACGAAGTAGTTCCTCAACTTTCCCAAAACATCAATTTATAGAAAAGAAATACTATGAATATCAACAAAATGCAGTACAATCCATAACAGAAGTGATAACCAATGAAAACAACTAACACAAGACAGGCTGAGAACAGTTTTCTTTTGGAGTTTAGAGGGAACAAATCCACCCGTAGTAGTAGTGACTGGAAATGCAAATGCAAGGTCCACTTATCTTTCAACATGAAACTTTCTTTCACTTGTAACATACAATAAGCATTGTTAACCTTGCCAGAGATGAATTAAGAGAGGGAGTCTCCATTTCCAGACCAGGCAGCAGTGACTGAAACATATTCCAATATAATTTTATCAAATGGGGAAATCCGACCTCTCCAGAATACTCCATCAGAACAAACCCACTGTCTAGAAACGACGAACTTTTCTATCCAGTCCCCACGTTACAGACTTATAGATCACAAAAGATGTGGTTCTAAGTAGAACTTTTCCAAACTGAACTGTTTAAAAATCTGATCACTCTACATTTCAGACATATAAGCTGAAGTATTGTTCATGTATCCCAAAACTTCTGTGAGTTTGCCCACACGCATCAACTAGCTACAAACAAAAGATATATAGTAAAATACAATTCTTTACACACACCATCACTGTGTGCCATCTCCCCTCCTTCCCCCCCCCCCAAGTTATTTTCAAATTGATATCTTCAAAAAAATCCTCTTAACACTTATCTTGTACATACAAGAATCTGTAGGACTTCTGTGAAAGTAAATGTGAAAGATTCCCTAAAGAAATCCAAAATGCTGCTGATCTTCTAAGACAAGAAATAGAAACACCATCACACAGAACAATTACATGAAAAGCCCTTTGTGGACACAATTCTCAACATGAGCAAGAAAAAGTGACAAGACAATCTAAAAAAGCTCCATAACCAATCTACCAGTTTTAAAGTAGTATGCTCTCAGTGCTGTCAAATACAGAGCCTGCATAAGCACAGTCTGGAGGAGGCTGTTGCTCCTAGGATGTCAAATCATCCATTTTCACTTAAACACTTTTAGTTGTAACCTTCACTTGTAATGGATCTTTGACTGAGATTTAAAATGTCACAGCAGTTGAAAAAAGAAAAATAGCAAAAATCAATTTTGATCTCAAATAACTAATAGATGTTAATTAAAATATACTGCAGTTGCTTGCCTTTTAGTTAGGCTCTTAGAATGCCCAACATCAAGAAAATGTTAGCATTTCAGTATCAGAAAGCAGTACCAGTTTTTCATCATAGTATGACTTCACTCACAAAAAAACAGTACAGAATTTGATGGTTCTGCATTTACTATAGAAAATACTTTCAGAATATTAGCTATTCACAAGCTGGTAATCACAGCTAAAATTCAAACCACCTGAAATACCTTCTAAGAATAGTCCATAGCTATTTGTAAAAGGTTTACTGGAAAGCTTTTATTTACCAGGCCTTTGTTTCAGAGTACCTGCTTCCCTCTTAACCTATATAAAAGAAGCAGCACTTCAAAATCCTTTAAGCGAAAAATGTACACCTCTAATCATTAGTAAAAATAAATTTGTGTTCTTTTCTTTTTTTTAAATTTAAAACTCAGTGATTCATTACATTAAGCGCTTTTCACTGCATTTTTTTTTTTATTTCTGCTAATAAATAATACGGAGTAAATAATACTGACATCTGTGGCATACATGTAAAGTCATCTGCTGTAACACCAACTTCTATCTTGTCAGTTTTTTCCTATTTTCACGAGCACTCATGCATTTCTACAAGTGTCAGGGTTTGAAATTTTTACATGCCATCTCTGATCGAAGTCACGTCACTCAGCTGTTTGATTCACATAGCAGAAATAGAAGGAAGATGAGGTGACAAAATCATTCTCTTCCCTGCTTACATTGAACAAATTCACAACTACATTGAATCACATCACACCAGTTACAATCAAGATGCTTCAAATTAGTTATAAACCTGAATAATTTTTCAAACCAGGGTGGGGGAGTGATTGCTTTAGTATATGAACAAAATGACCATGTAAAACTTCCATACTGTGCATAATGTTTCCTTTTTACTCCATAAACATATTCAATATAACATAAATATATTTTGCATAGGTTCAGTCACTCAGGTAGATGCTTGTGTTCCACCATTGTAGGCTGTGCCAGAAAAAGGTACCAAGTTATACATCAGTTACCTTTTCTGTCTTTTCTTTAAGGTTGGAAGTTGCGTATTTAATACTACTATGACAATGAGAAAGCTGCAAAATCATGTGCTTAAGTCAGAAATACTAACAGTTGTTCTAAAAACATTACTTTGAATATGATGTGCATGCAAAGTATTTCTATTCATCTTTCTCTCATTAAGAGTTGGACCACAATGAATTTATTGGAACAGTCCTACAAGTATCAGGAACTGCAATTTCCGTAATTTCTCTGAGGATCTTCAATTGCTCACTTAGAAGTAAAAACAAACCTCATCCCCCTTCCCCAAGGAGGACAGCTAACGTGCCCCCCCACAGGTCAGCTCCTCTTGCCTCCCTGCCCATGTTCTCGAGTGAGAAAAAGGGCCACCAAGCAGACAATTCTGAAGGGACATGGGGAGCTGAAGGCATGACTGACACCCATACACTAAAAAAAAAAAATAAAATAAAAAAAAAAAATCCCTGCCCCTGTGAGTTCCCCAAATGACTGCTCATGAAAGAGCAGTGCCAAATTGACCAAAATAGCAATTGTATTCCTTCATCCTACACTTGTATGCCCATCTTTTCCACTGGTGAAGAAGCCAATGTCTCTTCTATCACGCTTGGCAGGACACTGGCATATTTCATAGAATCTCAGGGTTGGAAGGGACTTTAAAGATCATCCAGTTCCAACGTCCCTGCCCATGGGCAGGGACACCTTCCACCAGACCAGGTTGCTCAAAGCCCCATCCAACCTGGCCTTGAACACTGCCAGGGAGGGGGCAGCCACAGCTCCTCTGGGCAATCTGTGCCAGCGTCTCATCAACCTCACAGTAAAGAGCTTCCTAATATCTAATGCAAATCCACCCTCTTTCAGTTTGAAACCATTACCCCTTGTCCTATTACTACACTCATAGTGTATATATATTAATATCTATATATTAATATAGACATTAAACACGATAAAGAGTCCCTCCCCACCTGGGGCAGGTTCACCCGCCCTGATCTAAAATCTAGGGCTTGCTAAAGGCCCCTTAACTATCAGGTTTTTCGGGAGACCAGACAAAGCACACACAGATGGGACTTTCTGGCCATTGGAAACCTGATCACCGTGTTAATACCTTGTCTTCTCCTGCTAGCGTACACTTATTAGAAATGACCACAGGCCAGACTCGACTTGGATACACACGGGGCCCTGCCGGAGAGCCGACTGGAATCGGTCCTCCTCAGAGCAGTGGGTCTGCAGTCGGGGGCTCTCCCCTTGGGTCGGATGCCACCTGAGGAAACTTTCCGGGGTTGAGCGCCTTTATTTACCTTCCATCTTTGGTGAGTTAATAAGTCTGGATATATCCTTGAGTAAGCCCTTGCCCTTTTGGGTGAGTGATTATAGTTCCTCGGTACCATACCCTTGAGTGAGAGATTTTCCCCCTTTCGTGGGTGAATGAGCACACAGTTTGGATTGTTTTCCTAAAAGGCCTGTTTAAATAATTTAGAAATTCTTAAGACAGCTGTGTAGTGGTGTATTCCCAACTGACATTCGAACCTTACTTTTGTCTATCGGAGTATTATCTAACTTTGGTCGGAGTAAGTCCTCATTTTTGAGCAGCTGCTCTGTCTGTTTGCGAGTGCCTCTGCCTGATATCTGTGCCTGCAGTTTGCTCAGGTCTGTAGGGGTGTTTGAGTGATTGCTCTACCTGTTGTGTGGGTGCCTCTGTGACACCATCTTACATGCAGGCCTCCGTTAAGCACTGGAAGGCCACTATAAGCTCTCCCCAGAGCCTCCTCTTCTCCAGGCTGAACACCCCCAGCTCTCTCAGCCTGTCCTCACAGGGAAGGTGCTCCAGCCCCTGATCATCTTTGTGGCCCTCCTCTGAACCCACTTGAGCAGGTCCACATCTTTCTTACTCTGGGGGCCCCAGAGCTGGACGCATTACTCTAAGTGGGGTCTCACCAGAGCAGAGGGGCAGAATCACCTCCCTCAGCCTGCTGGCCATGTTTTTTTTGATGCAGCCCAGGATGTGACTTGCTTTCTGGGCTGCGAGCACACATGGCTGTCTCATATTCAGTTTT